CCCTGTTTAAGGGCAAGTTTGGTGAAAATTTATGCAGAAAATTCGGAGTGTGGAAATTGGGAGAAGGTGTGGATTTTAATAAAAGTATTACAGAGGGCAAAAGAGGGGTTGTTGAGGGGGTTTGGTCATTTAGAAAAAATGGACAAAGTAGAAGAAGGAAAGATATAAATCTATAGGGAAGGGAAAGGGGGGGGGTGGGGCGTCCTCAAAAGGGTTTGGGAGAGAGGGGGAAAGGGGTTTTGTGGGAAAGGGGGCTGGATTTCCAAAAGCGGGTGACATGTTAGATGGGAGTGAAGGAGACGAATGGTATTTGGGGCCTAACGATTTTTGGAGTTGGCGGGTAATATTTAGGAAGGGGTTTAGGGGGGAAACCCCGGTTATTTTTATATGTCGGACTTGAGTCCTGGAAAGGAAGTACAATCCTGCCTTTAAAAAGGGGGGGTTTGGGTATTGGCAGTTTGGAGGGATATGTTTTTGTTTTTTTTATGTGTTGTTCTAGACTGTTGTATTTGAGCACCTTGCAAAAACAGTGATAAGTGCGAGGTGGGGAAAGGTTGAAAAGATGATGAAAGTATTTTTTTTTTGGGGTTTTCTTTCTTTTTGGGGGCACCCCGCCTGGTGGGAGACGGCCGACTTTTTAAAAAAAAAAAAAAAAAAAAAAAAATTGTAAATATGAAAATGGAGTGCGATTCCCAGGGCCAGGTTTTACACAAAACCCCCAAAAACCCTCGCACTATTTTGGCCCAAAAAAACCGGGAAAAAAGGAACTGTTTTGCCAAAAAGGGGCAACTTTGTTTTCGAAAAAAGTCACAAGTGAAAAAGATTTTGAGGACTGTTATTGGTGGGATAAAAAGAAAAAACGATAAGGGACAGGATCTCTCAAGCGATATAGTGAAAAAGGTAGGAAGTTGCATGGGATTTAATTAGAAAAAAGCCCGCAACTAGTGGTGATGTGAGTGAATTTAAGGCCAGCAAAGGTTGGTTTGGGAGTTTTTAACCCCTTTCAGGGCCCGCCCCCGTAGATTAGGGGTTTAGGTGAGGTCCAAACCCGTAGATCACCCCATGAGCTCTCTCCCCTTGTAAATGTGAGTGGTACTTTGGGCTAGTTGAGAAAATACTCTATGGGGTATTGTGCACCAATAAAACGACCCTGCAGCACGGTGTTAATGGGGAAAAAAAAAACTAAAATAGTTTTTTTCGATTAAAAAGAAAATTTGCGTGTTTTTTGTATTTTTTTTATAGTTTTTTTTGCGATTTCTTTGTTCATTTGAAAGAATGGAAGACATATTACAGAAATGGATGTTTTGTTTGGGTTTTTTAGCACTGGAAAGGTTGAAACTGGCAAAGTAGCGGAAATGTTTAAATTTTTTGCCGATATTAAAGAGTAAAAAACGCCCACACGTCAAATAACGTCAGGGGTGGGTCAATATAATTCACAAATTGGTGATGTTTTATACAATTTTTACGTATTGCATAACTAAATCTTTTTTTTTTTTTTTTGGTGAAAAAAAATTTTTTTGTGAAAAAAAATCAAAAGGGAATTTATTTGAAAAGCCAAAACATCACTAATGAACAGAGAAATGTTATTTTTGTGCCAGGAATCCTACATTGTTTTTTCGGACCCTATTTTGAAATTGGAAAATATTTTGAACTTTGTGTTAAATTGGCCAAAAAAACAATTTCCGATCACTTTTTTTGTAGTTAAAAACAGTTGATTTGGGCGTTTTTCTTGTGCTCAATCATAGAAAAATAATAAGTAAAATAGCTAAGAATTTTGGGGTTGTTTGGAATAAGTAATTGGCCCTAAAAGGGGGAGCAAATCAGAAAATGGGCCGATTGTAAAATATCGCGCACATCAAAAATTTGGGGAGAGAAAAATTTCGTCAATTTTCCACCAAAATTTTATACTTTTTGTTTTTTTACCTTCCCAAAAAAGATTCTCTACGATTTCATAAAAAAATAACAATTTTTTTTTTTTTTAAAATTTTTGGACACTGGTGCGTGACCCCATTTGGGCCTTGGACCCCAAAGGGTTAAGAATCGTAGTGGCATACAATGTTAAGGCATGGTGAGGCTGCCAGTTTGGACCCAAAAAAAAGCTGAAAAATATTGATGAATTCAAAGGGGTCTAGAGGCTGAAAGGGTTTAAAATGAACAAGTGTTTTTAAATTTGACAAAACAGGCCGTTTTGGAAGAAATGCCAAGCAGGACCTACATTACTCAGGAGGGAAAAAGGCCTCCAGGACATAAGCCAATGAAGACAGCTTACTTGTTTTATTGTGCCATGCGTGGGATTGCAAAGTGAAGTTTACTGGAAAAAGGCCAGACCTGAGGAAACTGCTCCAGAGGAGGGGGTAGAGAAATTGGGAAGTTGCTACTTTAAAATTAAGGGAAAAATGTGCAATGTGGCTTAAAGTGCAAAACCCTTTTTTATAAAATCCCCTATACAGCATTGCAAGCCCCGGTGATATTAACTGACAATGTTGTTAAAACACTTTTGGAATGTCATAAAGGAACGGGAGGTCAGGCCCCCTATGGACAGATAATTGTGCGACGAGGTCCCGTGACTCTCAAAACTGGTTAGTGGCATTAAAAAAAGAAGAGAAGTAAACCCCCGGAAAAGGATTGCTACCTCAATCCTAATGGAAGGGGGTTTCCCTTTTAAAACCCCAAAAACCATTCAACTCTCCCCTCCCCCATCCCATCAATCATCACCAGATCTTCAATAAAGGTAAGTGTCATGTAATTGTGAATCTCTTCTTCAGTTTGTGTATTAAAATTAATATTTCATGTGGTAAAAAAATTTTTTTTTCATACTTTGGGGTGTCAGGAACGGATTAATTTGATTTCCATTATTTCTTATGGGGAAAATTAATTCGGTTAACGATAATTTCGCCTAACGTTGAGCTCTCAGGAACGGATTAATATCGTATATGCTTCTAAGCTGTTGTGTTCTGAGCACCTCTGCAAAAACAGTGATTATGTGTGAGTGAGGTGAAAGTGTTGAATGATGATGAAAGTATTTTCTTTTTGGGGATTTTCTTTCTTTCTGGGTCACCCTGCCTAGGTGGGAGACGGCCGACTTGTTAAAAAAAAAAAAAAAAATGTTTCTAAACTATTGTATTCTGGGCACCTCTACAAAAACAGTGATTATGTACGAGTGAGGCGAAAGTGTTGAATGATGATGAACGTATTTTCTTTTTGGGGATTTTCTTAATTTTTGGGTCACCTTGCCTCAGTGGGAGATGGCCAACTTGCTGAAAAAAAAAGAAAAAAAAAAGAATAATAATAATAAAAGTCTTTAGTATACCTGGTAAAGTGTATGGTAGAGTTATTATTGAAAGAATTTAAGAGTAAGACTGAGAGCAGGATAGCAGATGAACAGAGAGGCTTTAGGAAGGGTAGGGGTATGTAGACCCCCTACCCTTAGGATTGGGTGGATAGGGGGGCAATGTGGCAGATGTTGCAAATGCATGGAATAGGAGGTAGGTCACTGAAAGAAGTGAAGAGTCTTTACGAGATTACTGAGGCTCAGGTTAGAGTATGTAGGCGAGAGGGGGATTATTTCCCAGTAAAAGTAGGCCTTAGACAGGGATGTGTCATATCACCATGGTTGTTCAACATATTTATAGATGGAGTTGTAAGAGAAGTGAATGCTCAGGTGTTGGCACGGGGTGTGGAGTTAAAAGATAAAGAATCTAACACAAAGTGGGACTTGTCACAGTTGCTCTTTGCTGATGACACTATGCTTTTGGGAGATTCTGAAGAGAAGTTGCAGAGGTTGGTTGATGAGTTTGGTAGGGTATGTAAAAGAAGGAAATTAAAAGTGAATATAAGAAAGAGTAAGGTGATGAGGATAACGAAAAAATTAGGTAACGGAAGATTGGATATCAGATTGGAGGGAGAGAGTATGGAGGAGGTGAATGCATTCAGATATTTGGGAGTGGACGTGTCAGCGGATGGGTCTATGAAAGATGAAGTAAATCACAGAATTGATGAGGGTAAAAAGATGAGTGGTGCACTGAGGAGTCTGTGGAGACAAAAAAAACTCCATCCATGAAAGCAAAGAGGGGAATGTATAAGAGTATAGTTATACCAACATTCTTGTATGAGTGTGAGGCTTGGGTTGTGAATGTTGCAATGAGAAAGCTGGAGGCAGTGGAGATGTCGTGTCTGTGGGCAATGTGTGGTGTGAACATAAGGCAGAGAATGCATACTTTGGATATTAGTTGGAGGTGTGGGATTACTAAAACTATTACCCAGAGAGCTGAGGAGGGGTTGTTGAGATATTCTGGACATGTAGAGAGGGTGGAACAAAATAGAATGACTTCGAGAGTGTATAGATCTGTAGTGGAGGGAAGGCGGGGTAGAGGTAGGTCTAGGAAAGGTTGGAGGGAGGGGGTAGAGGAGGTTTTTGTGTGTGAGGGGCTTGGACTTCCAAGTGTGCGTGAGCGTGTTAGATAGGAATGAATGGAGACAAATGGCTTTTAGGACTTGACATGCTGTTGCAGTGTGAGCAAGGTAAACCGGCAGGCCAGACTTGATTCCTGCAGATGGGAAGTACAGTGCCAGCACTCTGAAGGAGGGGTGTTATGTTGCAGTTTTATAACTGCAGTGTGAGCATGCTTCTGGCAAAACAGTGATGGAGTGAACGATGATGAAGGTTTTTCTTTTTCGAGCCACACTGCCTTGGTGGGAAATGGCCGATGTGTTAATAAAAAAATAAAAATAAATAAAATTAACTTAAAAATAAAAGCTAACCTAGAAACTACAATAGCATTTTATTCCGATACCTAAAAATCTTGTAACAAGCCATACAAGTTCTAGTGTGAAAAAGAGGTGACATGGTTTGTTTATCCTTGTGTATAACTGGCTGTCTCATGTCATAACTTATTCTCACATCTGTGAGAAAGTCAAAAATAGTGAAAGACTAAATATAGATTTTCTTTTAATAATATTAATATACATTGAAATATGGAATGCAATAATGCTAGACCCACCTTGACCCATAGATATCCTGACACTGCTGAGTGAAGAACTCAATTGGAAACTCATTTCCAAACGGTTGGTCTGCTGAATCTGAGCTCTGATAGAAACCAAACTCCGTGCAAGTTTGATAAGTCCAGGCACGACCTAGAGGGAAACAAGGACCCTTACCTGTGGCATTTGTGGATTATTCCTGTTCTGATAAATACAATACAGTACATAGCTACATAATAAATTTACTTAGTTTCTGTGATATAATGACACACCAAGTTTTAGCGAATATTGTACATGGCATAAACTGAATGAGTGTTAATTATCATCATTATATCTGCAATATATCTCTAATATTACATTCAATATCTCTCCTCATTTTCTCTTGTCTCTTTCTCTCGCTCATTCTCTTATTCATTCATTCTCATTCACAACTTTGGAGTATCATATAAAAAAACTTATGATTACAGTACGTACTTGTATATTAACCCTCTCAGGGTTGGTGCCATACTAGTACGGCTTGCAGGCCAGGGTTGGTGCCGTACTAGTACGCATAAATTCTAGCACCTTCAAATCTAGCGAGAGAAAGCTGCTAGGCCTACATATGAAAGAATGGGTCTATGTGGTCAGTGTGAGCAGTATAAAAAAAATCCTGCAGCACAGTGATAATGAGAACAAAAAACTCCAACCATGTTTTTGGTTTAAAGACAGCGACTTTGCAGTGTACTTTCGTATGCTATTTATGGTTGTATTCTAGTTTTCCTGGTCTCATTTTATAGAATGGAAGCCATATTATGGAAATTGAGATGATTTTGATTGGTTTCACAATGAAAAGTACCTTGAAATTGAGCTCAAAGTAGCAGAAATGTTCTATTTTTTGTGAGAATAAAAATTCAAAGTGGAAAGCAAAAGAAATGTAACAGAGGCCTGGGGACGTGAGTAATGAAGAGAGGAAATGTTATTTTAGTGCCAGGAATGTCTGTCTTGTTTATTCTGGTCCCTATTTGGAAATTGGCATCTTTTGAAATTTGTGTGAAATTGGCAAAATTGCCAATTTCTGACCACGTTATTGGTTAGTTGAAATTGGTAAATGGGTGGTTTCTTGTACTCATTCGATAGACAAAATGGAGTTCTAGCGAAATAGGTATGATTTTTGTTGATTGGCACATTGGAACTGGCCAATAATAGGGCTCAAAGTGGGCACAATCGCTGATGCATAAACATCATTGACCTGGAGTTTACCTGGAGAGAGTTTCGGGGTTGAACGCCTGCCGTCTGTTTCGGTCCCTCTTTGGTGGATCTTGAATCTTGTAAATGGCAAATCTGCGCTGACCAAACTAACGTTGAGCACAGCCGGTAATGGTGGACTTTGGTCTTGTCCATCAGCTTGATAGAATGGAGGTCTGTTGGTAATCCCTTATGTGTGCTGGATTGGAACATGGACTGGCCACTAATAGGCTCAAGTGGGCCAATGCTGATGATAAACCTCATTGATCTGGAGGTACCTGGGAGAGTTCTTGGGTTCAACGCCCCGGGCCTGGTGCTAGTGACCGGCCTCCTGGTGGATCAGAGCCCTGATCATCCGGCTGGTGGATGCCGACCTTCCGTACAGCCACCGCCCGGCAGCAAGGAACTGTTTAGGTGCTTGCCAGTGGCCGCTGCAGACTGCCAGGGAAGTTAATGGCCCAATGCCCATAATTGCTGGGAGCAGTTGAACAGCTCTGGCCCTGATTATTGATGGTCTAACCGGGTTAAGTGACACCCACGATTTTCTTGGGTTGTCTTATCTTGCCAAGTCTTTTGCTTTCGTAGTGAGTGATTGAGACCGCTAACTTCGCGAGAGCATATTTCCGTAAATTTTCCATCAAATTTCATACTTTTGGTGTCATTATGATCAGGAAAAGATTCTCTATCATTTCATAAGAAAAATAATTTTTTTTTTTTTTTTGAAAAAATTTCCGACCCTGAGAACAAGTTTAGGAGAGGGCCTGCCGACCATGAAAGGGTTAATCCCTTCCTCAGCAACCATTCAAAGTATGAAACTTTGCTTCACAACCAAGTGTACATTAAGTGAATTGCTTTGGGGTGTGGTTCTGTATGACAGACCCATTGTGCTAATGATCTAGTTGATGAAGCACCTTAAGCTGCAAGGAAGAAGGGGATGACAGGTTATGCGAGTTGAGTGTGGGCATAATTCATTATGATTGTAACCACACAAACATGTAAATAGTTCATTACTACTGCACGGCGCACATAACGGAGATAAAACACCGAAATTACTGAGAGCGCTTGAGGTTCCTGAACCTGTATTCCCTGGAACGCAGGCGGGAGAGATACATGATTATATACATCTGGAAAATCCTAGAGAGACTAGTACCTGAAATTGCACACGAAAATCACTCACTACAAAAGCAAAAGACTTGGCAGACGATGCAACATCCCCCAATGAAAAGCAAGGGTGGCACTAGCACGTTAAGAGACCATACAATAAGTGTCAGGGGCCCGAGACTGTTCAACTGCCTCCCAGCATACATAAGGGGGATTACCAACAGACCCCTGGCAGTCTTCAAGCTGGCACTGGACAAGCACCTAAAGTTGGTTCCTGACCAGCCGGGCTGTGGCTCGTACGTTGGTTTGCATGCAGCCAGCAGTAACAGCCTGGTTGATCAGGTTCTGATCCACCAGGAGGCCTGGTCACAGACCGGGCCGCGGGGGCGTTGACCCCCGGAACTCTCTCCAGGTAAACTCCAGGTACTGTAACTCACTTAGAAATCAAAACTTTGGGGCCCAGTCCTGTGTAATTTTTCAACTACTGCCACAGGATGGGTATGGGTGTATTACTAACTGTGGGGGAGGGGGGGGGGAATTAATAGAAGGCTCTATATACTGTCCTGCTAATGAACAAATGTGTTTACTAATTACAAAGAAATAAAGCTACAGATTTACCTGCAACACTGGTGTTATTCTCCCAACTGGTTTCCTTTAACTCCTTCATCAGAGTGTCATACGTGTGATCAAGGCATTCCTCGTCATATACGTCCAAAATCATTGAGTTGAGCGCAGCATATCTGGTTGTTAAATTCGGTGATGTCAAAAGTAGTAACTTGCTGGGGTGGGGGAGGGGGGGAGGGGGTTGGGGGAGGGAGGAGGAGGGAGGGAGAGAGTGAGAGAGGAGAGAGAGAGGAGAGGAGAGAGGATGATGGAGAGAGTGAGAGTGAGAGAGAGAGAGATGGAGAGAGAGAGAGGAGAGAGAGGATGAGAGAGAGGAGAGAGAGAGAGAGGAGGAGAGAGAGAGAGAGAGAGAGAGAGAGAGAGAGAGAGAGAGTATAGAGAGAGAGAGAGAGAGAGAGATATAGAGAGAGGAGATAGGAGAGAGAGATAGGAGAGAGAGATAGAGAGAGAGAAGAGAGAGAGAAGATGAGAGAGAGAGAGATAGATAGAGAGAGATAGAGAGAGATAGAGAGATATGAGAGAGATAGAGATAAAGAAGAGAGAGAAGAGTGAGAGAGAGAGAGCAGGATAGAAAGAGATAGATAGATAGATAGATAGGACAGATAGATGGAAGAGATAGATAGATAGATAGAAGTACAGAAGAAGAAGACGAGAGACGATAGAGAGACAGAGAGACAGAGAGAGAGATAGACAGATAGAGAAATAGATAGAGAGATGAGATAGAGAGATAGAGAGAGATAGAGATAGAGATAGAGATAGAGTAGAGAGAGAGATAGATAGATAGATATTGCCCCTAGAAGGGTGTGACTACCCCTGCAACCACATATGTATAGATGACTACACACACACACACATGTATACAGTAGGGCCCCACTTATATGTGGTTAGGTTCCAGGCTACCGCCTGGATAGAGATAGATAGATAGATAGACAGATACAGATAGATAGACAGACAGATAGACAGATAGAGAGACAGAGAGACAGAGAGACAGAGAGAGAGATAGACAGATAGAGAAATAGATAGAGAGATAGATAGAGAGATAGAGAGAGATAGAGATAGAAGATAGAGATAGAGAGAGAGATAGATAGATAGATATTGCCCCTAGAAGGGTGTGACTTACCCCTGCAACCACATATGTATAGATGACTACACACACACACACATGTATACAGTAGGGCCCCACTTATATGGCTGGTTAGGTTCCAGGCTACCGCCGTAAAGCGGAAACCGCCGTAAAGTGAAACACCCTTTTTTTCCACTTACAAATGCATACAAACACTAGATAACAAGTTTACACTAACATATATTAAGTTAGCAATAGAACCAGGCATCAAAAAACAATAAAAAAGTACAATACACACATAGTGCACTCATTACTTACCTTAAAATATTTATAGTCTTAATCTAGGGTGAGACAAGTAGTATTTATTGTAAGAAATCAAGTGTGGTATGTATGGTAGTCAGCCAGGCTACCATACCAGGCCACCCACCCACACATACAATTCTATGATATTTAAGCATCCCAGAGCAATAAAATGTATATACAGTTCACTCATTACTTACCTTAAAATATAGGGTGAGATGAGTAGTATTTATTGTAAAAAATCAAGTGTGGTATGTATGGTAGTCAGCGGGCTACCATACCAGGCCAACCCACCTACACATATTCTATTACATTTAAGCATCCCAGAGCGATAAAATGTATATACAGTTCACTCATTACTTACTTAAATTTTGTAGTCTATAATGTAAGGGTCAGGGTAAGTAAAGAGATAAAAACGAATAAATGAGAGGAGAAAAGAATGATACATGAGAGTGGACAGGCGCAGAGCTTATTCGAGTAGTAAACAATACAGGCGAAGGAAAGAATTTGTAATACGAAGTGTACAGTCGAGTTTGTTACAAGGGTAAATTGTGTACAAGTTGCTTACATTGAACGGTAGAATGTAAATAAATGAAGACTCCCATTCTCATGTAACATCATTTTGAGAAGAAATGATTGCTCGAGTGAAGGTAATGGAAATAAGTCACTATGACTTTTCTGGGGTTATCCTAGGTTCTCTACACATATGTTGTTATGTATGATAATCTATGTAACTGTATTTGTGTATACCTGAATAAACTTACTTACATACATACGAAAGGAATAATTTTCTACAGTTACCCCAGTAAACACATTTCTCTTATGTTAGATTAGAGAAAATGTTATTCTTGGATCACTTGTACAAGTTATCTGGCTACCACATCTCATATTTATGTTTATTTATTCTATTGTAGGGTGTATTTATCATCTTTTTATGTTATGTATAGTGTTTATTATATAATTTTGAAAAAAATATCATGGATGGATTAATGAAAATGTGTATATTAACGTAATATACAACATTTAATGAGACTCGGTGATTATTATTATTATCATTTCTAATATGGCGTCACTTGTGCAAGTCGTCTGCTACCATATCTCATATTTGTTTATTTATTCTATTGTGGGGTGTATTTATCATCTTTTTATGTTATGTATCATGTTTATTATATAATTTTGAAAAAATATCATAGATGGATTAATGAAAATGTGTATTTAATGTAATATATGACATTTAAATGAGACTCGATGATTATTATTATCATTACTAATATGACGTCTGGAGACATAAGACACTCTTACTGATTTTAATGTGTACCTGCATGCCAGCACAGTATGTAAGTTTATTTAAGTACAGGTATACATAAGTATAATTATCAGAGTATATATAAAATATGAAATAACTTTTAAAAACATTTGAAATTTTGGAGTTTCCAGACAAAATGGAGAGACTTAGTGCTTACTGAGCTCACGAAGAATGTAAACAAACAGGGTGGGGCACGGTGACCATATTAGAAAGTCAGGTGGGGGGAGCCGTATAGCGAGTTTTGGTCAGAATTTGAAATGACCGTATTAGCGGAACGCCGTAAAGTGAAACGCCGTAAAGCAGGGCCCTGCTGTACTATATATACATACTGTATATACATTAAGCAGTGCTTGTGATATTGGCTTAAAGAACAATGATTGCATTTATGAACAAACAGGGGGGTGTAAATTAACTCTTACAAAAAGCTAAGGGCAATGTGTGGTGTGAATATAATGCAGAGAATTTGTAGTTTGGAAATTAGGAGAAGGTGTGGGATTATCAAAACTATTATCCAGAGGGCTGAGGAAGGGTTGTTGAGGTGGTTCGGACACGTAGAGAGAATGGAAGAAAACAGAATAACTTCGAGTGTATAAATCTGTAGTGGAGGGAAGGCTGGGTAGGGATCGGCCTAGAAAGGGTTGGAGGGAGGGGGTAAAGGAGGTTTTGTGTGCGAGGGGCTTGGACTTCCAGCAAGCGTATGTCAGCGAATTTGATAGGAGTGAATAGAGACAGAGGATTTTTAATACTTGATGTGCTATTGGAGTGTGAGCAAAGTAACATTTATGAAGGGATTCAGGGAAACTGGCAGGCCAGACTTGAGTCATGGAGATGGGAAGTACAGTGTCTACACTCTGAAGGAGGGGTGTTAATGTTGCAGTTTTATAACTGTAGTGTAAAGCACTCCTCTGGCAAGACAGTGATGGAGTGAATGATGATGAAAGTTTTTCTTTTTCAGGCCACCCTGCCTTGGTGAAAATCAGCCATTGTGTTAATAATAAAAAAAAAACTACAAAAATTTGAACATTACAAAATTAATACACATGTATGCTGCATTGATGGTAAATAATGTTAACTTAATTAAGGCTGTCCTAAGATACCTGGGGTAAAAATCAGCTAAAATATAGTGAATTACATTAGTAACATGTATAATTGTATTACCCTGTGTATCTTATTTCACATATATAAAATTATTATTTTTTCTTTTTTTAACACGTCGGCTATTTCTCACCGAGGCTGGGTGATCCAAAAAAAAAAAAAAATTCATCACCATTCAACATTTTCACCATCACTCATGCATAATCACTGTCTTTGCAGAGGCACTCAGCTACAACAGTTTAGACATCCCTCCAAGCTGCCAATATCCTAAACCCCTCCTTTAAAGTGCAAGCATCGTACTTCCCATTTCCAGGACTCAAGTCCGGCTAATCGGTTTCCCTGAATCCCTTCACAAAATATTACCCTGCTCACACTCCAACAGCTTGTCAGGTCCCAAAAATCATTCATCTCCATTCACTCCTACACGCTCATGCACCTTTGCTGGAAGTCCAAGCCCCTCACCCACAAAACCTCCTTTACCCCCTCCCTCCAACCTTTTTGGGGACGACCCCTACCCCGCCTTCCTTCCCCAACAGATTTATACACTCTCCAAGTCATTTTACTTTGCTCCATTCACCCTAAATGACCAAACCACCTCAATAGCCCCTCTTCAACCCTCTAATACTTTTATAACTCCACACCTCCTCTTAATTTCCACACTACGAATTCTCTGCATAATATTTACACCATACATTGCCCGCAGACACGACATCTCCACTGCCTCCAGCCGCCTCCTCACTGCAGCATTTACAACCCATGCTTCACACCCATATAAGTGTTGGTACCAGTATACTCTCGTACATTCCCTATTACATTATTCCCTACTATTATTATTTTTATCATATCACATTCTACATATGCTGATCATGTTAATCTCATTATGAAATTTTCCTCATGAGTAAACTCATAATTAAGATAATAAGTAACTTAAAAGAGCATAATTATTTAGTTGTGTCTGCTATACCTTGCTACTGGGACACCTCCTGCCTTGTCTGTCATTATGCCACACACAACGTCAATGGTAATGTTAGTACCCTTAACGCCCTCAAAAGCTCGATTGTCTTCATTATATTGTACCACATCTTCTACGTTTTCTGTCAGCATAGAGAATAAGTTTGCTACATCTTGATCATTGATTCCATCTAATGGTGTACAGAGCCTGTAATAAGAAGGTCCAATGTAATATACTGTACATATAACATATAAAATCAATACCATTATAAAAATTTAAAATTTAAAAATTTAAGCCAAAATTATCGTTAGCCGAATTAATTTTCCCCATAAGAAATAATGGAAATCAAATTAATCCATTCCTGACACCCCAAAGTCTGAAAAAAAAAATTTTTACCACATGAAGTATTAATTTTAATACACACAAACTGAAGAAGACATGCACAGTTACTACTCTACTAAGAATAGAATATATGACACTTACCTTTACAATTAAGAATACAATTAAGAATAAAACTAAGTATGCCCGAAATGCCTAGCCATGCTAAGCGTTCTAGTGGTACACTCTGTAATCACAATTTTACTACATGTAAACCAAACAATAACCAAATTTCTGTAAACTCAGCATTGTAATCCTTATAGAGAATAAACTTTGAATTTGAATTTGAATCTGGTGATAATTGATGGGAGGGGAGGAGGGGAGAGTGTGGAAGTTATTGTTTAGAAGGGGAATTCCCTTCCATTACGACTTGAGGTAGCAAGTCCTTTTTCGGGGTTACTTCCCTTCTTCTTTTAATGCCACTAGGACCAGCTTGAGAGTCACTGGACCTCTGTCGCACAACAAAGCTGTCCATAGAGCTCTGTACCTCCTGTTCCTTAAGACTTTCCTAAAATGGGCCATAACATTGTCATTGTACAGGTTGCCAACACGAATTGCAGTAGCTGTGCCAGGGTGATTTTCATCCATAAAGGTTTGCAGTTCAACCCAATTTGCACACATTTCCTTAATCTCTTTTTTGAATTCCATACTAATTCTCGCCCTTTTTACCACAGGGATGGCACCAGAAGCTTTCTTGGGGTCCATGGTGGCTTATTTTGCAGTTACAAGCACTAAAAACACTGGGATAGTGTGAAATGTATGCGTAGATGCGACTGCACTGGCTGGCTTGTAAACACTGGCGCTGAGGCCACACGTGGGACGCGTCCCAGACAAATCATGTAAGGCAAGTTTTTTATCGTGAGGCGAGGCAAAATTTTTGCGTTCAAATGCTTCGTATGGCGGATTTAACGTAATGCGATGCGTTCATAAGGTGGGGGTCCACTGTAATAATATAATGCTTTGCAGTCAAGTATTATTTTTGGTACATTGCTGAATTTACAGGCTAAGAGTTGTTCTTTCTTTCAACAAACAGGCCATATCCCACCAAAGCAGAGTGGTCCAAAAAAGAAAAATGAACGTCTCTCTTTTTAACTTTAGTATTATGTAAAGGAGAAGGGGTTACTAGCCTCTTGCTCCCGGCATTTTAGTCGCCTCTTACGACACGCATTGCTTAGAGGAAGAATTCTGTTCCACTTGCCCATGGAGATAAGAGGAAATAAACAAGGACAAGAACTAGTAAGAAAAATAGAAGAAAGCCCAGAGGGGTGTGTGTATATATATGCTTGTACATGCACGTAAGTTTACTGAGTATACCAGGAAAATTGTACAGTAGGGTTATTATTGAAAGAATTAGAGGCAAGACAGAATGTATGATTGCGGATGAGCAAGGAGATTTTAGAGTGGGTAGGGGATGTGTAGATCAAGTGTTTACAGTGAAGCATATATGTGAACAGTATTTAGATAAAGGTAGGGAAGTTTTCATTTCATTTATGGATTTAGAAAAGGCAGTTTGGAGGGATATGTTGTGTATCTTTATACAGTGGTCCCGCGTTTATTGTAGTTAATCCGTTCCTGGAGTTGCTACTATTATCGAAATCTACGATTTTCGAATCAATTTTCCCCATAAGAAATAATGTAAATACAATTAATCCGTTCCTGACACCCAGAAGTATTAACCCTTAAACGGTCCAAACAGATCGACGTTCAAATTCGTAGTGCTGCAAAAGTAGATCTACTTTTTTTTACATATTTTCAAATATAACAAAAAAAAAATGTAGATAAAAGTTTTTTACACGTTTTCAAATGTAAAACAAAAAAGAAGATCTACATTTTTTTACATACTTTCAGATGTTGAAAAAATGTATATATACGTTTGGACCATTTAAGGGTTAAAACAAAAAAAATTTTTTACATGAAATATAGATGTAGTACATAAACAATACAATGGGAAATGATGAATGAAACATTAACAGCATAACACTTACCTTTATTGGAGATTCTTCTTAGTGTATGGAAGACTGGAGGAGGGGTAAGATTGGATTGTTTACAGTTTGGAAGGAGAATCCCCTTCCAGCAACACCTCAGGTACCAATTGCTTTTCTGGGGTTGCTTCTCTTCTCTGTTTCTTAATGCCACCAGGACCACCTTGAGAGTCACTGGAGTCCTGTCTCGCAAAATGACTGTCGAGAGAGCTCTGTTTCTGGCGTCTCTTTAACACTTCCCTAAAATGGCCCAAGACTTTGTCACTGTACATGTTGCCAACATGGCTTGCAACAGCCTTGTCAGGGTGATGTTTCTCCACAAATCTTTCCATCTTACCCCACACAGCAAAAATCTCTTTAATTTCTGAAGAAAGCACCTTCCATTTCTCTTCCTCCTCCTCTGCAGCAAGATTCTGAGCTGCGATCTGTTGCTGTTCCTGCTGAAGCTCTTGCAGCTCCTCAGTGGTGAGCTCTTCGTTGTGGTCTTCCACCAACTCTTCCACATCCTCCAAACTCACATCCAACCCCATGGAACTCCCCAGTGCCACAATTGATTTAACAACAGACATAGGCTCATCAGGGTCAGTCCCAAACACTTCAAAATCCCTCTTGTCGGCACAATCTGGCCACAATTTTCTCCAAGCAGAGTTTAAAGTCCTGGTAGTCACTCCCTCCCAAGCCGTACCTATAAGGGTTATGCAATGGAGGATGCTGAAGTGTTCTCTCCAAAATTCTCTTAGGGTCAAGTGAGTGTCTGTGGTCACAGTCAAGCACCTTTGAAATACTGCTTTGGTGTAGAGTTTTTTAAAGTTTGCAATGACCTGCTGGTCCATGAGCTGGAGGAGAGGAGTGGTATTCGGGGGCAAGAACTTTATTGTGATGAACCCAAACTCCTCGAAAATTAGGTCATCCAAGTTTGGAGGATGAGCAGGTGCATTGTCCATTACTAGGAGGCACTTGAGATCCAATTTCTTTCCCAGGAGGTAATTCTTCACACTAGGGCCAAACACTTCATTGAACCACTCGACGAAAATTTCCCTCATGACCCATGCCTTACTATTAGATTTCCAAAACACACACAATTTACTCTTCATAACATTGTTTTTCCTGAACACTCTGGGATTTTCAGAATGGTACACTAGTAATGGCTTCACTTTGAAATCCCCACTAGCATTAGCACAGAACATGAGCATCAGCCTGTCTTTCATAGGCTTGTGTCCTGGCATTGCCTTTTCCTCCTGTGTAATGAAGGTCCTCTTTGGCATTTTCTTCCAAAAGAAGCCTGTTTCGTCACAATTGAACACTTGTTCAGGTTTCAGTCCTTCAGCCTCAATGTACTCCTTGAATTCATGCACATATTTTTCAGCCGCTTTATGGTCCGAACTGGCAGCCTCACCATGCCTTACCACACTGTGTATGCCACTACGGTTCTTAAATCTCTCAAACCAACCTTTGCTGGCCTTAAATTCACAAATATCAGTACTCGTTGCAGGCAATTTCTTTACCAGATCGTTGTGCAACTGCCTAGCCTTTTCACAAATAATTGAAGTCGTGAGAGTACAGTGGACCCCCGCATAGCGACCTTAATCCGTGCAAGAGGGCTGGTTGTTATGCGAAATGTTCGGTATGCGAATGAATTTTCCCCATAAGAAATAATGGAAATCAAATTAATCCGTGCAAGACACCCAAAAGTATGAAAAAATAATTTTTTTACCACATGAAATGTTAATTTTAATACACACAAACTGAAAAAGGCATGCACAATTACATGACACTTACTTTTATTGAAGATCTGGTGATGATTGATGGGATGGGAGGAGGGGAGAGAGAGTGTTAGTGTTTAGAAGGGGAATCCCCTTCCATTAAGACTTGAGGTGTCGAGTCCTTTTCTGGGGTTACTTCCCTTCTTCTTTTAATGCCACTAGGATCAGCTTCAGAGTCACTGGACTTCTTTCGCACAACATATCTGTCCATAGTGGCCTGTACCTCTCGTTCCTTTATGACTTCCCTAAAGTGTTTCACAACATTGTCAGTGTAATAATCACCAGCACGGCTTGCAATAGCTTTTGTGAGGGTGATTTTCATCCATGAAGGTTTGCACTTCAAGCCACTTTGCACAGATTTCCTTAATCTTTGTAGTAGGCAACTTCTTCAATTTCTCTCTCCCCTCCTCTGAACCAGTTTCCCTCAGGTCTGGCCTCTTGCTGTTGAAGTTGATCTATCAGCTCATCAGTGGTTAGTTCTTCATTGTCCTCCTCCACCAACTCTTCCACATCATCCCCACTAACCTCCAACCCTAAGGACTTTCCCAATGCCACAATGGATTCCTCAACTGGCATAATCCTCTCAGGGTTAGCCTCAAACCCTTCAAAATCCCTTTTGTCTACACATTCTGGCCACAGTTTCTTCCAAGCAGAGTTCAAGGTCTTCTTAGTCACTCCCTCCCAAGCCTTACCTATAAGGTTTACACAATCGAGGATATTAAAGTGATCTCTCCAAAAGTCTCTTAGAGTCAGTTGAGTTTCTGAGGTCACTACAAAGCACCTTTCAAACAGAGCTTTTGTGTACAGTTTTTTGAAGTTTGCAATAACCTGCTGGTCCATGGGCTGCAGGAGAGGAGTGGTATTAGGAGGCAAAAAAATTCACCTTAATGAATTTCATGTCCCCATAAAGTCGCTCTGCCACGTCTGTAGGATGACCAGGGGCATTGTCTAAAAACCAGGAGGCACTTAAGTTCTAATTTCTTTTCAGTTAGGTAATCTTTCACATTGGGGGCAAATGCATGGTGTAACCAGTCATAGAAAAAGTCCCTAGTGACCCATGCCTTACTGTTTGCCCTCCACAGCACACACAAATTCTCCTTGAGGACATTCTTTTGCCTGAACGGTCTGGGAGTTTCAGAGTGATACACTAATAAAGGCTTCACTTTGCAATCACCAGTAGCATTGGAACACATCAACAAAGTAAGCCTGTCTTTCATAGGCTTATGTCCTGGGAGTGCCTTTTCCTCCTGAGTAATGTAGGTCCTGCTTGGCATTTTCTTCCAAAACAGGCCTGTTTCATCACAATTAAACACTTGTTCAGGTTTCAGTCCTTCAGTTTCTATGTACTCCTTGAATTCCTGCACATATTTTTCAGCTGCTTTGTGGTCGAACTGGCAGCCTCACCATGCCTTATCACAAATATGTATGCCACTACGCTTCTTAAATCTCTCAAACCAACCTTTGCTGGCCTTAAATTCACTCACATCATCACTAGTTGCAGGCATTTTTTTAATTAAATCCTCATGCAACGTCCTAGCCTTTTCGCTTATGATCGCTTGAGAGACGCTATCTCCTGCTAGCTGTTTTTCATTTATCCACACCAATAAGAGTCTCTCAACATCTTCCATCACTTGCGATCTCTGTTTCGAAAACACAGTTAAACCTTTGGCAAGAACAGCTTCCTTGATTGCCTTTCTGTTGCCCACAATAGTAGCGATGGTTGATTTGGGTTTCTTGTACAACCTGACCAGGTCGGCGACACGCACTCCACTTTCATACTTATCAATGATCTCTTTCTTCATCTCTATTGGAATTCTCACCCTTATTGCTGTAGGGTTGGCACTAGAAGCTTTCTTGGGGCCCATGGTCACTTATTTTCCAGATAAAGCACCGAAAACACTGTAATAATACGAAATATTCCGATTGTATGCTTGGATGTTACCGCGGAGGCTGGCTGGTAAACAATGCCACCGGCGGAACATGTGAGGCTGGCTGAGGGCGCACATTGGACGCGTCTCGGACGAAGAGCGGTGAGCGGGTTTTTGGGCGGTATGCAAGGCAAAATTTTTGCGATAAAAGCGAGCGGTATGCGGATTGTACGGTATGCGATGCGTACGGTATGCGGGGGTCCACTGTATCTCCTGCTAATTGTTTCTCGTTTATCCACACCAATAATAACTTCCCAACATCTTCGAGTACTGGTGATCTCATTTTTGTCAGCATATTTACCCCCTTTGCAACAACAGCATCCTTGATTTCCTCTTTCTTGGCCATGATGGAACATATGGTTGTGTAGGGTTTCTTATACATCCTGGCCAGTTCGGCCGCACTTATGCCACTTTCATATTATTCAATGATGTTTTTCTTAAATTCAATCATATTTCTCACCTTCTTTACCACAGGCTTGGCACTAGGAGCTTTCTTTGGAGCCATGGTAGCTTATTTAGTACTTGCAAGCACTAAAATGAGTGGAATATTATGAAATATTTCATAGGAGCACGTGAGGGGACCTTCGCTCACTGGTAAACAATGCCACACTGGCTGGGGAGGGAGGCCGCCCTGGCTCACACCGTGCGTACACGTCCCAGACGACCTACTATCTGCGAGTCAACCTACGATTAGCGAGCCCATGTTTATACGAAAATATCCCTATGATTTCCGAAATCTACGATTCCCGAGAACTACGATTATCGAGGGACCACTGTATGTACGTATATGCTTCTAAACTGCTGTATTCTGAGCACCTCTGCAAAAACAGTGATTATGTGTGAGTGAGGTGAAAGTGTTGAATGATGATGAAAGTATTTTCTTTTTGGGGATTTTCTTTCTTTTTAGGTCACCTGCCTCAGTGGGAGACAGCCAATTGTTAAAAAAAAAAAAAAAATAATTATAGAGTGGATAGGGAAGCAATGTGGCAGATGTTGCAAGTATATGGAATAAGTAGTAAGTTACTAAATGCTGTAAAGAGTTTTTATGAGGAAAGTGAGGCTCAGGTTAGGGTGTGTAGAAGAGAGGGAGATTACTGCCCGGTAAAAGCAGGTCTTAGACAAGGATGTGTAATGTCACTATGGTTGCTAATATATTTATAGATGGGGTTGTAAAAGAAGTAAATGCTAGCATGTTGGGGAGAGGGGTGGGATTAAATTATGGGGAATCAAATACAAAATGGGAATTGACACAGTTACTTTCTGCTGATGATACAGTGCTTATAGGAGATTCTAAAAGAAAAGATGCAAAGATTAGTGGACGAGTTTGGGAGGATGTGTAAAGGTAGAAAGTTGAAAGTGAACATAGAAAAGAGTAAGGTGATGAGGGTATCAAATGATTTAGATGAAGAAAAATTGGATATCAAATTGGAGAGAGGGAGTATGGAAGAAGTGAATGTTTCCAGATATTTGGGAATTGACGTGTCAACAGATGGGTTTATAAAGAATGATGTTAACCATAGAACTGAAAAAAGGTGAGTGGTGCATTGAGGTATATGTGGAGACAAAAGACACTATCTATGGAGGTAAAGAAGGTAATGAATGAAAGTATAGTGGTGCCAACACTCTTATATGGGTGTGAAGCTTGGGTTGTAAATGCTGCAGCGAGGAGGCGGTTGGAGGCAGTGGAGATGTCCTGTCTAAGAGCAATGTGTGTTGTTAATATTATGAAGAGAATTCAGACTGTGGAAATTAGGAGAAGGTGTGGAGTTATTAAAAGTATTATCCAGAGGGCTGAAGATGGGTTGTTGAGGTGGTTTGGTCATTTAGAGAAAATGGATCAAAGTAGAATGACATGCAGAGCGTATAAATCTGTAGGGTAAGGAAGGCGGGGTAGGGGTCGTCCTAAAAAAGGTTGGAGGAAAGGGGTAGAGGAGATTTAATGAGCGAGGGGCTTCGAATTCCAGCAAGCGTGTGTGAGCATTTTAGATAGGAGTGAATGGAGACAAATGGTTTTTGGGACCTGACAAGCTGTTGGAGTGTGAGCAGGGTAATATTTAGTGAAGGGATTCAAGGAAACCGGTTATTTTTATATAGCCAAACTTGAGTTTTGGAAATGGGAAGTACAATGCTTGCACTTTAAAGGAGGAGTTTTTTGATATTGGCAGTTTGGAGGGATATGTTATATGTATATCTCTATATATGTTTCTAAACTGTTGTATCTGAACACCTCTACAAAAACAGTGATTATGTATGAGCAAGGTGAAAGTGTTGAATGATGATGAAAGTATTTTCTTTTTGGGGATTTTCTTTCTTTTTGGGACACCCTGCCCTGCTGAGAGATGGCCGACTTGTTGAAAAAAAAAAAACCATGCATGTGTAGTGTGACCTAAGTGTAAATAGAAGTAGCAAGACATACCTGAAACCTTGCACGTTCATGAGACAGAAAAAAGACACTAGAGGTGTCTTTTTTCTGTCTCAGAGATGCTCAGAATACAACAGTTTAGAAGTACAGTGGACCCCCGACTTACGATCACCTCCCAACTCGAACAATTATGTAAGTGTATTTTTTAAGTGCTTTTTTAAGTGTATTTTTGGGGATCTGAAATGGACTAATCTAATTTACAATATTCCTTATGGGAGCAAATTCGTTCGGTAACGGCACCGAGCAGCCTTCTGGAACGAATTAATATCCTAAGTCGGGGGTCCACTGTATATACATATAAAGATACACAACATATCCCCCCAAACTGCCAATATCCTAAACCCCTCCTTTAAAGTGCAGGCATTGTACTTCCCATTTCCAGGACTCAAGTCCGGCTATATAAAATAACCGGTTTCCCTGAATCCCTTCACTAAATATTACCCTCCTCACACTCCAACAGATCGCCAGGTCCCAAATACCATTCGTCTCCATTCACTCCTATCTAACACGCTCACGCACGCTTGCTTTATAATACAAATGTGATGAACATTAAAAATTGGAACAAAGTGTAAAAAAGTGAGTGAAACAAAGAAATTAAAAACTTTGACATTTTGCATAGTATTCTTTACTTAATTTGAAAACTACCGAGTTAGTGAATAGTCGCTGCAATTTATTAATTAGCCTTCATATTTGTTTTCCTATTTAACAGGTAATAAAACATAGTGCATTTAAAAGGAATTCCTCTTTACATACTTTAAATGTGCTGTTAATTAATAATCAATATTTACCTAAATTTTTCAGTGATCGTAATCCATCCAGTCTTATCCTGAAGAAGGGTATGGAGCTGCCTGTGTGCTTCCTTGATCGCTGTGTTGCACTCTTCCCCAGTCGTGGCAAGAGAATCACGAACCACTTCTAGATACTCTGTCAAAAAAAAAAAATTACATTGCATGAGAAACCTTTGCAACTTATAAAAAGGCAATAAAAATAAAATTTGTTTTCAAAATTGGGTATTTAACTTAGGTCGCAATATACACTACGAGAAGCAATTATTACTACAGAAAAAGCGTCCTTCCTCCAAAATTTCCACCAGTCAACTATAGTGATAATATAGCATTTATTGTGGTGGAGACGGAAAAAAGAAAAAAAAAATAGAAAAGCTAGATACAGCGATTGATAAACAAGGGTTGAGGTCGACCGTTCGTCATTGTAGGAGTTGCCAGCAGTCACCGGTTTCTTCAACACGCAAGTTATACTTTTGTATCAATCAAATCACATATTACTCGGGTAGATAATTGCCAGTAGATCCTTCATGTGTTAGCTCAAATCACCGACCAGTATGTTTTAAATAAGTGACCCACTGATCAGATCAGATCGACTGGTCCGAACCCTTGACTGGTCCGAACCCTTGACTGGTTTCAAACGGTTTCGTTGGACAATAAAGCAGACTGTAAACGGATGGGGTTGTAGGCGCCCTTATAAACACAAACATTAAATATAAATCAGGAACATGCATGGTAAGCTGTCCAATATACAAAAACAGTTAGAAACAGAAATACAAATAGCTAGAGCTTCATTTAAGGAGGTTATTAATAGAATATTCAAGAGGTTGCTAGTAGAATTGCAGTAAATCAACCATTCAAATCATTATGAAGCTGTGTGTAGTCTGTGGTCAGTCAAACAAACGGGCTTCCACATGGGTAAATTGTCATTTTTGTGGAAATTGGTGTCACGCCCCTTGTGCAGATATCCAAGAACTAGCTACAAGCAGTGTTAAAACAGGGAAGTGTTTTTGGGTATGCCCAAATGAGATAAATCTGTGGACTAAAATCACAAGGGTATTAAAAGAGGACAACATAAAAGCTGCTTTCATAGACAACCTGGAAGCTTTCTACAACAGATGGGAACATAAAAAGTCTGGGCTGAATGGTACTGCCCTTGATTACTGGCCATGTAGTCAGAAACTGTAAGGCTGGAGATGAAGTCCTGGTAGTCAGTAAATGTGGGGCTGATAGTGCTGTCCTGGGAGACAGTAATGGTGAAGCGGGAGGTGCTGTCCTGGGAGACAGTAATGGTGAAGCTGGAGATGCTGTCCTGGGAGACAGTAATGGTGAAGCTGGAGATTTTGTCCAGGTAGTCGGGAATTATACGCAGGAAGGAATACATATAAATGACCTCATAGGGGACAGGAGCCATAGTAGGGAAACAAGTGTAGTCAAAGATAAGATAAAACAAATATTGCAAACTAGAAATACCACAGGAAATAGCAAACAAGAGGACTCCACTAGCAATAGTGAGGATATATTACCAAAAACAACTGGTGGGAGCTCCATTGTTGGTGCTAGGGAGGATAGAAGTAAGACAGGGAAACATGCACCAACAGGGAATACAGTCACAGAAACGCAAGGCAAAGGGAAACCAAGCCTGTGCACATACTATGCACTTGGTATCTGCTGGCATGGGAAATCTGGAAAAACAGATGGGACGTGCAACTATGACCACCCTAGAAAATGCCATGCCCATATGACAACAGGAAAATGCAAACTCCCTTCCTGTAAGCTTTTTCACCCTGAACTGTGTACCTCTTCAGTACAGGAAAGACTGTGCTATAACTTAAATTGCCAGGCATACCATCTAAAGGGGACAAAAAGATACAAAACATCCAGGCCATGGGAAAACCTGGGTAGCCACAGCCACTCAAGAGGGAGAGGTTTTTTAGTGCCAGGAAGGAAAAAAAACTGGCAGGAAATGGCAGAAATCGTACACCAAATCCAGTCATTCCTGGAGTGGAACCACAGTCGATGGCCTCCACTCCAAACCAACAGATACAGATACTAATGCCGGAAAAAAAATCCCCCCCCAGTACCAACAATACCACCAGTCCGATAACATTCTTCTTTGCAAATATACAGGGTCTAAAGCCAGCAAGAAACAACAAAATACCTTTCATCCGTGGACTGCTTGCAGAGGCAAAGGCAATGTTCACGGCTTTCACTGAGACCCACATAAAGGATCACTTGGACAACGAAATATGGATCCCAGGTTACAACCTATACAGATGTGACAGAGTGAACAGGCAAAGGGGGGAGTTGGCCTGAACATTGCAGAGTCACTTGTTTGCACAGAACTGCTTAATGCCTCAAATGATGTAGTGGAAGTTTTAGCAGTAAAGGTCGAGAACCAAAACCTAGTCATTGTGGTAGTCTACAAGCCTCCGGATGCAACATCCCAGCAATTCCAGGAACAGCTGTTAAAAATTGACCACTGTCTGGAAAATCTTCCAGCTCCTGCACCCAACATCTTGCTCCTGGGGGATTTCAACTTAAGGCACCTAAAATGGAGGAATATAGCAAATAATAATATAGCAAATAATATTGGTGTTATTACTGCATTTGCAGTAATAACACCAGGAGGCAGCTCTGATGAAAACTCACACTCACACGAGCTTTTAAATTTTTTTTTTTTTTCAACAAGTTGGTCGTCTCCCACCGAGGCAGGGTGACCCAAAAAAGAAAGAAAATCCCCAAAAAGAAAATACTTTCATCATCATTCAACACTTTCACCACACTCACACATTATCACTGCTTTTGCAGAGGTGCTCAGAATACAACAGTTTAGAAGCATATACGTATAAAGATACACAACATATCCCTCCAAACTGCCAATATCCAAAACCCCTCCTTTAAAGTGCAGGCATTGTACTTCCCATTTCCAGGACTCAAGTCCGACTATAAGAAAATAACTGGTTTCCCTGAATCCCTTCACTAAATATTACCCTGCTCACACTCCAACAGATCGTCAGGTAGTAGGTTGGTAGACAGCAACCACCCAGGGAGGTACTACCGTCCTGCCAAGTGAGTGTAAAATGAAAGCCTGTAATTGTTTTACATGATGGTAGGATTGCTGGTGTCTTTTGTCTGTCTCATAAATATGCAAGATTACAGGTACGTCTTGCTACTTCTACTTACACTTAGGTCACACTACACATACATGTACATGTTTATTTATACACACTCATCTGAGTTTTCTTTGATTTTATCTTAATAGTTCTTGGTCTTATTACTTTTCCTTTTATATCCATGGGGAAGTGGAATAAGAATCTTTCCTCCGTAAGCCATGCGTGTTGTAAAAGTCAACTAAAATGCCGGGAACAATGGGCTAGTAACCCCTTTTCCTGTAAAGATTACTAAAAAGAATAAGAACAAGAAGAGCTTTTAAATCTCTGCACAAAATTCAATTTAAACCAGCAAATAATAGAGCCTACTAGACTGGAGAATACACTAGACCTCATCTTCACTAACAATGATGATCTGATAAGAAATGTCACCATATCAAAAACAATATACTCAGATCACAACATAATTGAGGTTCAGACATGTATGGGTGGAGCCCCAGACCGACATAATGAGACTAGTCACGAGGGAGCATTCACCAAATTCAACTTCAATAACAAAAACATAAAGTGGGACCAAGTAAACCAAGTCCTAACTGATATAAGCTGGGAAGATAAACTAAGCAACACAGACCCCAACTTATGCCTAGAACAGATTAACTACGGTGGCACTCGATGTATGCACAAGGCTTATTCCTCTAAGAAAAAGGAGGAGTAGATGTAAAATAGAAAGAGACAGGCGCTCCCTTTACAGGCGACGGAAAAGAATAACAGAGCGGCTAAAAGAGGTCAATATATCTGAAATGCGTAGGGAGACACTGGTCAGAGAAATAGCAAGCATCGAACTTAAGCTAAAAGAATCCTTTAGGAGTCAGGAATCGCGGGAAGAACTAAAAGCCATAAATGAAATCGAAAGAAACCCAAAGTATTTCTTCTCCTATGCCAAATCAAAATCGAGAACAACGTCCAGTATTGGGCCCCTACTTAAACAAGATGGGTCCTACACAGATGACAGCAAGGAAATGAATGAGCTACTCAAGTCCCAATATGACTCAGTTTTTAGCAAGCCGCTAACCAGACTGAGAGTCGAAGATCAAAATGAATTTTTATGAGAGAGCCACAAAATTTGATTAACACAAGCCTATCCGATGTTATCCTGACGCCAAATGACTTCGAACAGGCGATAAATGACATGCCCATGCACTCTGCCCCAGGGCCAGACTCATGGAACTCTGTGTTCATCAAGAACTGCAAGAAGCCCCAATCACGAGCCTTTTCCATCCTATGGAGAGGGAGCATGGACACGGGGGTCGTCCCACAGTTACTAAAAACAACAGACATAGCCCCACTCCACAAAGGGGGCAGTAAAGCAACAGCAAAGAACTACAGACCAATAGCACTAACATCCCATATCATAAAAATCTTTGAAAGGGTCCTAAGAAGCAAGCTCACCACCCATCTAGAAACCCATCAGTTACACAACCCAGGGCAACATGGGTTTAGAAAAAGGTCGCTCCTGTCTGTCTCAACTATTGGATCACTACGACAAGGTCCTAAATGCACTAGAAGACAAAAAGAATGCAGATGTAATATATACAGACTTTGCAAAAGCCTTCGACAAGTGTGACCATGGCGTAATAGCGCACAAAATGCGTGCTAAAGGAATAACAGGAAAAGTCGGTCGATGGATCTATAATTTCCTCACTAACAGAACACAGAGAGTAGTCGTCAACAGAGTAAAGTCCGAGGCAGCTACGGTGAAAAGCTCTGTTCCACAAGGCACAGTACTCGCTCCCATCTTGTTCCTCATCCTCATATCCGACATAGACAAGGATGTCAGCCACAGCACCATGTCTTCCTTTGCAGATGACACCCGAATCTGCATGACAGGGGTCTTCCATTGCAGACACTGCAAGGCTCCAGGCGGATATTCAACCAAATCTTTCAGTGGGCTGCAGAAAACAATATGAAGTTCAACGATGAGGAAATTTCAATTACTCAGATATGGTAAACATGAGGAAATTAAATCTTCATCAGAGTACAAAACAAATTCTGGCCACAAAATAGAGCGAAACACCAACGTCAAAGACCTGGGAGTGATCATATCGGAGGATCTCACCTTCAAGGACCATAACATTGTATCAATCGCATCTGCTAGAAAAATGACAGGATGGATAATGAGAACCTTCAAAACTAGGGAGGCCAAGCCCATGATGACACTCTTCAGGTCACTTATTCTATCTAGGCTGGAATATTGCTGCACACTAACAGCACCTTTCAAGGCAGGTGAAATTGCCGACCTAGAAAATGTACAGAGAACTTTCACGGCGCGCATAACGGAGATAAATGATGTTGTGTAAACACCTCAATTACTGGAGCGCTTGAGGTTCCTAAACCTGTATTCCCTGGAATGCAGGAGGGAGAGATACATGATTATATACACCTGGAAAATCCTCGAGGGACTAGTACCGAACTTGCACACGAAAATCACTCACTACGAAAGCAAAAGACTTGGCAGACGATGCACCATCCCCCCAATGAAAAGCAGGGGTGTCACTAGCACATTAAGAGACCATACAATAAGTGTCAGAGGCCCGAGACTGTTCAACTGCCTCCCAACACACATAAGGGGGATTACCAACAGACCCCTGGCAGTCTTCAAGCTGGCACTGGACAAGCACCTTAAGTCAGTTCCTGATCAGCCGGGCTGTGGCTCGTACGTTGGTTTGCGTGCAGCCAGCAGCAACAGCCTGGTTGATCAGGCTCTCATCCACCAGGAGGCCTGGTCACAGACCGGGCCGCGGGAGCGTTGACCCCCGGAACTCTCTCCAGGTAAACTCCAGGTAAACTCCAGGTGCCTAACACTGATGTTAATGTTAATAGACAAAAACTGTCTTTAAGGAAAAAGTTTGCACCCCATAAAATTGAGAAATGGGTTAATGGTGACAATAATGCAAAGGATGGCTATGCTCACAATACATCAAATTTTTTGTATCTGACCATTTTTTATTGTCAAATATTTGACTAATACTTTCAGATAAGCATCCTAAGAGTCATCACTGGCCTGTAACATTTTTTGGTAAAGATTGACTAATATTAATTAAAAGTATTACCATCCCATGGTAACCTTAAATCCTCTTTGTGATGCTTAAAAATCTTCAGGAATTTATGAGGAACTTGGTCAAGGTACATGCTGTAGGTTAGCCATCTCCTAACATTCATTGCTCATTATAACCTAGCCAAGTCACTTCAAATATGACTATGTGGCCATTACCTTATAAATGACTAATAAAAAATAAGAGATTCTAAACTACCATCAGATATGAAGGATTTACTAAAAGGAAAACAAGGCCATTCGAAGATCAAGACCATTTTTAATAATAACTAATGTAGAATAAACAACACAATAACAAATAACTTAATAAAGTCTTTTGTACAATGTTAGTGTCCAGACTAGGGAAAATTTTTTATAATATACATGTACTTTATGAATTACTTTCCAGATTTTTTGAACCAATATTCTCTCAGCATCCTTGAACTTACCTCATATTTTATAGTTCCACTGTTGAGAAAGAAAGAAATGTAATGTTGTAACATATATGCTAATATTCAATTTGCAAGCTTATGTATTTATTCTGCTATATTAATAGTTATTCTTTTTCCTGCATGAACTTATGCTGCTCTTATAAATTTTACTGACGCATTATTATCTTCACATCCTCTGAACTATTAAGTTAGTAACAGTAATGGAAATGATCATGTGAACTTATAAAAGACCTGCTAAAGGCACAAAAGTCCTTAAATATTTCCAATTACTCATCATAACAAAAGAATCTGAGGTAAAGGATAACTCACCTTTAAAATTGAGCTGAGCCACAATAGGAGCACTTGTAGCAACAGCTCCATGCACTAGATGTGGATACTTCAAGCGATACCAAGCGGCTAAGGACCCTGGATATGATCCACCAAATGCTATCCATTTGTTTTCTTTTAAGCCAAGATTTTCTTGCATGCTTACAGTAAAAGTTGCCAAATCTGCCAGGGCTTGTTCACTGCTTAGGTAAACTAAATTTTCTACTGAAACATCCCTAAAAAAAAGATCAAGGAATACAATAGACAAAAAAAAATCATATTAATATGGCATTTCATTATGAAGTCTCAAATTATTATTTTATATAGATCTTAATTTACAGATCGATAAAATATATAACAATTATTCACAAGAACACTACCAGAGATGAACATAAAATACAGTGGACCCCCACCTTACGATATTATTTCATTCCAGAAGTACAGTGGACCCCCGCATAACAATCACCTCCAAATGCGACCAATTATGTAAGTGTATTTATGTAAGTGCGTTTGTACGTGTATTTTCGGGGGACTGAAACGGACTAATCTAATTCACAACATTCCTTATGGGAACAAATTCGTTCAGTAACGCCACCTGAACATACAGTGGACCCCCGGTTAACGATATTTTTTCACTCCAGAAGTATGTTCAGGTGCCAGTACTGACCGAATTTGTTCCCATAAGGAATATTGTGAAGTAGATTAGTCCATTTCAGACCCCCAAACATACACGTACAAACGCACTTACATAAATACACTTACATAATTGGTCGCATTGGGAGTTGATCGTAAGGCGGGGGTCCACTGTACATGGTTCTTTCTTCTTTCACCATACCAGCCGTATCCCACCAAGGTGGGGTGGCCCAAAAGGAAAAACTAAAGTTTCTCCTTTTAAATTTAGTAATATATACAGAAGAAGGGGTTAAAACATGTGGTTATAAATAATAATCAAAAACTCTAGTCTGCTGACTTGAGACTTGTGATATACATTACACTTTGGCTGCTAATTTTCAAAAAGCGGTTCTTTAGATATTTACAAATTGAATTATATACAAATACCTGCCAAGTAGTATACTGAATTAAAATTAAACACTACCATTTCTCAAAACACATACATCTCTAAATTAAACTTGTATAAATGAGGAAAAAAGTAGTTACTATTGTATGGTAAAAGAAAAATGGATGGCTTGGATGAGGGCATTATGAATTAGCCATGTTGTATATAATGTTTTGGCATTTTGCAGTTTAATACCATCTTAAACATGTGCAATACGGAGCTAATGGATTTTAAAAACTTTTAAACATTATCATTATTATACTATTATGCTACTCTGTTTCACATTTTCACAGGGTGGGGAGGAACCTACCTGGCAAGAATGGACAATATGTAAAGTAAAAGGACACAAGTGCAACTAATGTGACATTTATTGTAGCAACGTTTCGCTCTCCAGGTGGTAATGGCTTGATAAAGCTCCTGGAGAGCGAAACGTTGCTACAATAAATGTCACATTAGTTGCACTTGTGTCCTTTTACTTTACACATTGTCGGTAATTCTACCAACTTTATTACAAGAATGGACAAGCACTGTTAACAGAGTTGAAGACACTCAGAATGAGATCCAGCATTTCACATTATCTTCCTTGCAGAGCAGTATTAATAAAACTAGCACCACAGTACTGACAGAACATTAACAGTAGTGTTGGCCTTTTCATATAAGGTATACTGGTATACAGTATACGTATGTACTTTGCAAGAAGTAGCACAGATATGACTGATGCAAAAGTAAATACAGTGGTACCTTGACTTACGAGTTTAATTCATTCTGTGACCAAGCTCGTGACTCAATTTGCTTGTACATGTACATATATCAAATCAATTTTCTTCATTGAAATTAACTGAAATGCCATTAATCCATTCCAGCCCCCCAGAAAAAACACTCAAATTTTTTGTTATGGGTTTTTAAATAAGAAAAATGTATATATAAAAAAGAAATGATTTTTGCCATTTTTGCCAGGTCCCAGCAATGTTTTAGAAATGTTGGAGTATAGTATATGAAACTCTTTGAAGCATGGTGTAAGATGAGTGTCACTCCACTGCTGACAGTGCAGCAGTGGAGTAACATTTGATGTTCGTGCACTGCCTTGGCTTTATTTTTCACTGTTACACATAAACATGTCTGTCTATCTGTTTCTGTCTGTCTGTTTCTATCTATTTATGTCTGTCTGTCTAGATCTATGTTTATCTCTGTCTCTGCTTATCTGTCTTCCTCTCTATTTGTCTCTCTCTCTCAGGGAGAGCCGCTCATGAACCAACAGGTATTACACATGATGCAGAGTCGTCATGTCTGATTCCTGAAGAAGTGAAAATGTGTATTACTTGCCAGTCACGGTTATTATGCCTTATATCTACAAGCACAGTACATGTATAGCACTTTGTCTGGATTTTTTGGGCTATCCTAGGTAATTTACACTATGCATAACTGTGTTTATGTGTACCTGTGAGATAGAGACAGAGATAGACCAGCCAGCCTGCCAAACACATAATACACGTGTTCCAGAATTGTTTCTCTTTACTTGGGGCATACGTTATGGAACATTCTGGCAGGATGACATTACCAGTGACATCAAAATTGAAAGGATGTTACACATTGGTTATTATCAAGGTTTTTTTGTATTTCCTCGGTATCTCCTGCAAGTGGTGGCGTATCTGAAGCTCGCTTGTAACTCGGATTTTGGCTCGCAACTCAAAGCAAAAAATCGACCAAGCAACAGCTCGTAACTCGGAAAACTCGTAAGTTTTAACAAGCGAGATATCTTAACTGTGTTGGACTGAGTAGTCTAGCTAGTATACCAGCGATCAGTATGCCCAAAATGCATTGCATGCTAGTAGCTTTCTTTTGTGCTTAACAATATTTTATTACATGTAAACTACATTAACTGTGTACTGCATAAAAGAAATAAAAAATTTTAATCTGAATTTGAATGTATGTATGCTACATATCAGAATAAAACTCATACTCTGTAGGATGGCTCTGGCCATAGAATCGGTGCTCCAAGTAGAGTAGATAGGCATTAACATCCTTAGCATATGAAATCCAAGCTCCTTCCACCATCCATACTGGGTTGGCTGGTCCTTCACCTCCAATCATCAGAAAAACAGGTCCACCCGGCTTGTAGAAAGTTGCATTGGTAAAGTACCTCTGAAATTTATGCAATGAAAAAAGCTACAATAAATACATATGATGTGAAACCCATCACTTTAGTATCTTCAGTGAAACATTTGGGAATTCCCTGGCTCGAACATATCAGGAGAACCAACCCATGGACCGTATGTCTAACTCTTATACAATGTCATGTAGATTATTATTATTCTTCATGTTACTCTGCTTTAAGAAAAAATTAGACAGACTACGAATCACCCATAACAAAATGTTGAGATTCATCCTGGACCTGGATCCAAGAGAGAATGTAGGCCAGGATGAATTACAACTGTATATGCTGAATGTTGAAGACAGAGTGCAGAAACTGAAGTTAAAGTATGTTTATAAAATTGCTCACAAGCATTGTCTAGAATATCTTGCTTCCAAGTATATCAAGGTTAGGAATCAAAACCAGTATGGTACTAGGGGAAGTGAACACAATTTTGTAGTGGAAGGAACAACACACGCCCAGAATGATTAAAACACATATACAATATCTATGGAAGGAACAACATTAGCAATCAGTGGGAAGTAGTACGTTCAGTTACATTCCATAACTAAAGCTGAAACAATGCACACAAAAGAATGACGTTACCTGTTGCCATGTCCTGGTATCAGTAGGGTTGAAGTGGTCGAGGGTCTGGGTGAACCACTGGTCTGGGGGAGGCTCAGTGCCTTCAGGAAGTGCTGGTGGATACAGGAACTTTCTATGTCTGCTCAACCTTAAAGCACATGTCGCCCCAATAAGACCTAACAGCAAGACTAAGCCACGGTGCATCACGAAAACCTTTTCCAAACTCTAATTTACCTATAAGTTAAGAGTGATATAAAAGATACTCTGCACGCTAGATACTGTACTGAGATAATGTTACTCTGCTCATCTTCCTTCACCTGCTATCAGTTTATCAATATTATGTCCACGGGGTTTTCTTATCTCTACAGATCACCATTACGAACTGCAATGTATTTATATATTCAAGGCCCCCAGTGGAAATACATGAATTTGTCTGACTTTTTTGGTTATCCTAGGTAATTTACATATATCCTACTTAGGTATGATAAGTGTACTAATGTGTACTTGTACCTAAACTCACCTATATACTGTACAAGATGTACTTTGGTTGCTGCACGATCCAAGGAAGATATCCCCAACGCATCGCGAAATAATTAGTGCAGAGTGTGGCATAAGTTCATAATGCCAGTGTCATTCTTGGGTTTTTGCACTAGGTTTCTAATAGAAGTGGAAGAGCTGGTGGATATTTCAGCTAGTTTTCTGTCAAAAATTTTAGAAACGTTAGTTGCGACGCCGCTGACTGGTAAAACGATGTAACTTGAATGCTTGTCTTCATCTTCGTTGGTACTGGTCTTGTTGAAAATGTTTGTCGCACGTTTACTAGTCACTTAAGCAGTGTAGTGGGAAGTGTAGTGAACTAAAATAATGTACATACATCACACATTCTTTTAGTTCGTTACACTTGCCGTACACTTCATAGTAACTGCAGGAAACATGCGACACAGTTAGTTAGTTTAATATGTTTATTATGCACCCCATACCCATCCTGTGGGCGGTAGTCAAAAGATTACAGAGGTACATAATTGGTCCAGAGACTGGACTCCAAAGTTTTGATAGCTGAGCAAGTTACAAAGGTAATGAACTAGATCTGGTCATAATCATGACCAAGTTACAAAGGTAATGAGCTCCAGGTAGAGCTGGTCACACTCATGAATAATTGCAAAGGTAATGAATCATAAACACA